CCCCAAAACCCCAAAACCCCAAAACCCCAAAACCCCAAAACCCCAAAACCCCATTTCATTTTAAATTAATTGAGAATATTTAAATTTCAGGTTAAAATGGAAGAAAAATTAGTAAGTGATAGCAACAAGACCTTCCTCGAAGATGTCTCTCCATCAAGGCTCCAGCTCTGCATTTCAGAGCTGCTTAGATTGATGGCTGAGAGGAAGGAGGATGATCAGCACCTTTACTCGAAAATTCAGCAGAAGATTCAAGCCTATTCGGAAGGTATGAAGATCAAGGTCTTTAACCCAGCAGACGAGCTTGTGGATAGAGCCCTAGGAGAGTTTAAGGATAAAGAAAAAGAGCGCCAAAGTATAGAAGATGATTACCTTGATGAGCTCAAGATCTATGATTTATCAGTAATTCCAGAATTTTGGAACGAATCTGCTAAAAAGATGCTGCTTCTGCTAATGGCAAATCAAGAGGAAGAGAGTAAGGATGATTTTGATCATTCTCTGATCAAAACGAAGGTCCATCCTAGTTTTCACTTAAGCCACATAATGAACCAAACAAACACTGTAAACTTATTTCTTAACTCTTTTAGGACTGCGATACGTTTCCACTATGTGAAGAGCCAGACTCAGATGGCGAAATTCCTTTAAAATTCATGTTCCTCAACTCTGACACAGTGAGCCAAATTATTCAAAAGTACTCAAATCATAAGTATAACTATCATTTGTTATTGGCGAAATGAGTTGAAATATCTAGAGAGAAATTGATCGACCAGATGAGCCTCTATTCTTCAGATTTAACCTTATATTTCAGAAAGGGCCCAATTGGCAAGAACAAGAAGGTCATCTTAAAATGGTTACAGACGACTTATAAAGAAAATTTACTTAAATCTAGAGAAGAAAATAAGGAGGACAACCAGCCACCTTGTGGAGTCTCAGATGCGGAGAAATGATATAAATTAGGCCTTTTACAAAATACTAAAGTTGCTAAAATCCTCAAAGATGCAATGGTAGCAGATACAGAGAGAAAATTGGGCATTAAAAGAGTCCCAGTACCTCCTCCAACTGAGGTTAAGAAGGTCAATAAGCCAGCCAAGAAGAAGAAAGCTAAGAAAAAGGTTAACACTGGGATTGACTTCGTCATGGTCGTAAAGGGAACTGATAAAGTGATAGAGGAAATAAAGGTGAATGAAAACAGCTCAAAGCCAAAGAAAAAGAAAAAGCCGAAACTAAAATCTAAATGCAATAAATCTTCAGAGGAATCCAAATCTCACCTGACTACTTCTGAAGACCTCGCTTCTTACATATCCGCTCTCACTACCGCTCCTGCTGATGTCCCCAACGGGCAGGCTCTTCTTGATCTGACCCTTAAAACAGCTGCTTCTAGAATCCAACGTGCTTGGAAGAAATATTTGGAATCCCAAAAATCCTTCTCTAGAGAAGATTCTAGCTTAGCTGATTATAAGCCACATTTAGCAGGAATTAACTTGATTCAATGCCAATTTCGTAGATATTTGGGTAAGAAGAGGCAGAAGAGAGGTGGATGTAATTTATCTGTGGAGAAGGTAAGCATTTAGGTGGGTTCATAAGTCTTTTAGGAGACAAGGGATGGGATTAGGGGTATAGAGAATTGATAGGGTTTTGTGTGGAGTATTCTCTGGTTTTTGGAGAGTTGAAAAATCTTTTGAGGAAGTTGAATTTTGGTAATTTTAGTTTAGTTGTGAAATGTGCTGAGTTGGTTTAGGAGATTGAATTGAAAGTGAAGAATTTTAGTCAAGAAGAAAGTAAGGAGATTCTTGAGAGATATGGAGATGCTTCTGAACAGATTGGGAGACTTCAGAGATTTGTGAGGGAAGTTTGGAATGCGAAGATAGCTCTTAAGAAGAGGAAGATAGCAAGAGATACAGCTGAATGAGATATGATATATTCAAAGTATGAATCTCACAGATCCCGCTTCTTAGCTACAAAACCTTTTGACACTGAGCTCATGCGAAGAATAGGACACTGCAAATTAGAAATCAATAGAATTGATAGAGTACTTGAAGAAAGTCAAAAGAGATTAGAAAACGATTTTGAGTAAGAGAACTAAAACTCTGAAGCACAAATTAATTATATAGAAAAATAATAGGACTCAAAGACACACAAGAAGAGGAGAAGATAGAAATTGATCCTAAATTTGAAGAGGAAACAGTCAAATTTTGGGCTAATTATGGATCGGAAATTGAAAGAGACCTTAGTAAAGATCCTAAATACAAAGACTGGGAGTCAATCACCAGCAAATCAGGCAACACCCTCTGGGTGAATCACAAAACCCGTCATAAATCCAAACATCATCCAGGTATGAAATCGTACGCCAAGACTATCAAGCAAGAAATTGCTTTGGAGCATTCTTATCACACTTCTCTCCTCAAGCACCAAAAATCCCGCCTTCAAAAGATTACTTCAACTCTTCTCACCCACAGATCAGCAGACCTGCACCAGCTCCGAACAACCCTACTCAAATCCCACCATACATAGACAACATCAATTCAATAATTTCTTTTAAAAATGGGGTTTTGGGGTTTTGGGGTTTTGGGGTTTTGGGGTTTTGGGGTTTTGGGG